AATCTTTCAATGACAAGTAAGTCCAATTTGTTCAGCAGAAGCCCAAAAATTATACCCATGTTGTATACATTTTGAATTACAGAGTCTGCATCATGGAAGCATATTCTCAGTATAGCATAGAGAGCCGGCAAGATAGCTCAGAGGTCCAATGTGCCTGCTTAGGCAAGCGCAGGGACTGCCATTCGATCCCCCGCACCACATGCTGCACCAGCCCTGCTCCTAGGGTGGGTTGAGCCTGCCACAAAAAAGGGGGGGTATGGATACTATTTCTTGCAATATTTGGAGAACAGAGCTACTAACTATTTTGACCAATACCACAGAATCACCTATTTACTCAAACTAAATAAAAATAAGAAATTCATTTTATATTCATATATAAGAACCAGTGCTTTGAAGAGATACATCAACACTACTAAAATGTTTAATATTTTCAAAACTTTTACAGGAGATTCCAGTAAGAGTTTGTTTTATATTATTAGAATAAACCATATGTTCAAATATATTTAACTACCCTACGTATTGTACAAAGCAGAAATAATATAGCTTTTATTTAATGAAAATACACTACCAATGGCAAGCCTTCTAACAGAGCAAGTTAAACTTGGTATTTGTCAAATTAATACAAAATATTTTATGCAAAGTGCAATTGTGTGTGTGTGTGTGTGTGTGTGTGTGTGTGTGTGACTAGAGATTGAACCGAGGGGCTTGCCCACAGCACAAGCCCTGTTGCACGACATCACCAGCCCTGTTTTCCTGTTTGCTGTTTTGAGACATAGTCTCACTAATTTTCCCTTGCTTTGAACTTGGGATCCTTCTGCCTCCGGTTCCCACATGCCTGGGATTACACACACACATTACCACACCTGGTTAAGCTTCTTCATTTCTTTTATTTCTTTTTTTAATTTTTATGTATTTAGTACAGGGTCTCACTACACACATCAGACTTGCAGTGATCCTCCTGTTCTCAGCCTCTCAAGCACTCGGATTACAGGCATGCACCACCACGCCCATTCGCAGTCACACTCAGTGCGCCCCAGGGGCAGGACCAGCTGGGGATCGAACCCTGGTCCCTGTGCCTGCCTGAGCAGGCACGTTAGTCCTCTAAGCTATCTGGTCCACCCTTAAGCTTTTTCTTTAATGAAATATAAACTTTGGTGGCTCTCTTTCCTTTTTGTATGCATGTTTTGAGACAGCTTGCTCTGTAGTGTACACAGCTGTTTGTACAGCCGAGGCTGGTCTCCAGCTCATTGCCTTCCTCACCCGTCCCGTTCTGGGATGGCAGGCATGTGCCACCACAGCTGGCTGCTGTATGTCCGTGTGGGGGACTAATTGAATAAATAGGTATGTCTCCAATAAAAGACTGCATTTAGATAATGGTCATATTTAGAATATTTTGCTGAGTTTACACACCTATAATATTCAAATAACGGAACTTAACAAAAAAAGGGGATACAGATGAATGTCCAGTTTGTATCTGTGTATTCAAAGTGGTTAGGATAGATACAGTTACATTCTCTTAATGAATAAAGGGATTTGTTCTAATGGTGTTTGTAAATAGAATATCATGCTGGCATCTTGTACAGCAATTAACCACTAGGAAGAATGTATGCAATGTGTGAATTATTGAAACTGTCCTACCAATTTGATTTGAAACTCATTGCTATTTGTTTCTCAATAAAATTGTGAAAAAAAATTAAAAAAATAGATAATGGTCATAAAGAACTAATAATAACAAAGAGACACACAAAACACTTTGTACATCTACTTAATAGCAGTATATCCAACCATTTATAAGTTGACTTGTCAAAACCTAAACAGCCAAGTATGGTGTCATATGCTTGTAATCTTAGCACTCAAGAGGCTGAGGCAGGAGGATCATCACAAGTTCAAGGCCAGCCTGAACTACATGATGAGACTCTCTCAAAAAATATAAAGCAAACAAATAAAAAACAATCAAACCTGAACTAATTTTTCCTCTAGACCTAACTGCCTTAGAGAAGAAGTAGAGGACACAGAAAAACCTGTTAATAGGATGAGAAGGCAACAGAAAATGAAATATTACTAGTATGGGGAAACGTTTTAAAAAATAAGCAAACTGCAAAAAAAAAAAGTGAGAGGGAAAATTTAGATGAAAGAGATTAGTAGAAAAATGATAATCAACTACAAGCTGAACATCTTAAGATACCAAGCTCAAACTTTAAAAAGCAAAAACTTGGTATGAAACAATTACAGAAATTTAAATAATGACTGAATACTAGGTGTGACTTAGAAATTACTGATAGTCTTACTTATGAGGATAGTATTGTTTATATTTTTATAAGGAATATCTTGTCCATTTGTGTTCCTCTTTGCAGTGGTAGGTATCAAACTCAGGGCCTTCTGGGCTGCACTTGAGGCCAGCACTACAGAGCTACTCTCACCCCCACACAACATCTCTCAGAAATGTACATGACGTGTGCATCTGGGGTTTATTTCCAAGTAGTCTGGGATGGGTGAAGGCAAGAATATGGGTAGATACGGCAAAGTCTCATTAGCCATGAGTTGATAATTAGGAGTCTGGGAAATGGGTGCCCTACCTTTGATTTTTTTTTTTTTTTTTTTTTGAAC